CTTCAGGGAACCTTCAGAACCTTCAGGGAACCTTCAGAACCTTCAGAACCTTCAGAGATTGTTCAGTATTGTTCTCTAAGGGACAACATTAGAACGTGTTACGGTCCGGTTGTTTAAATGTTAAACTATGAAACCTTCAGAAAAAAACGTTCCCAAGAATCCTTTAACGAACTTTTAGGGAACACTCAGGAGAACACTAATGTTCTCATGTTCATCAGAAAACGTTTTTTGAATCCTTAGAGAACGTTCCCAGAAGGCTGCCTAAATGTTGGTTTCAACCTCCACATTGTGACCTTCAGGGAACCTTCAGGGAACATTCAGACTTGTTCTCAGGAGGTAACCTGGACCCTTTAGAACGTGTTGAGGTCCAGTTGAATCCATGAGTCCGTCTGTGTGACCTTCAGAACAAAACGTTCCCAGAAGGTTCTCTAAAGGTTAGCTGTCTTCACAACATGACCAAGGGAACCTTTTAGAAACGTTCTCTAAAACCTACGCCATGTGTAACCTTCAAAGAACGTTCTGCAGTTCAGGTTCTTGTAATCTTCAGAAAGTCTTTGAAGTGGCGCCTCAATGATTAAAAACAGTCTCCTTTAAAGAACACTGAGAACCTTCAGGGAACCTTCTCTAAATGTTCCCAAGTTGAACCGTCAGGAAACGCTTGTCATATACGGACCTTCAGGGAACCTTTAAAAGTTCCCTTTAGGGAACGGTTCTGAAGGTTCTCTGAAAGTTTGTTACCTTAAAGGGATGCTCAGGGAACATTCTCCGAAGGTTCCGGTTCGTTTTGGCTCTGCAGGGTTCTAAAGGGTTCTTGGCGAGCCTGAACCCTCCTGCTGCCCTCGGGTCAGAACGACCGCAGTACCTCGGGCCTCGGAGGTCCGTTCGACCCCGGGGCAGCAGGAGGGCGAGACCTTGAGTTTGATTTGGTCCAAACTGAAACGACAATCTGTTCTGATGGTTTGAAAGTCCAGCTGTTGGGCCTTAAAGTTCTGACCGGTCCAACTGGGTTCTGCAGCTCGGTCTGGAATGTTTTGTCCAGACCGAGCTGCAGAACCTTTAAACATGTTTCTAAAGAACGTAAGAGGAACAGAAGCGACGGACCGGTTCTGCTGCGGCTCGGCTCAGATGCGCTGCTTCCTCCGGGCCTTGGACCTTCAGACAGGAACCCGACTGGACTCCCACCGGACCCGGACCTCTCCGCCTTCCTGTGGACCAGAACACGTTCTTCACCGCTCCGTTTAAAATCTGCAGGAACGTTTTACAGCTGAACAAAGAGCCGGACCAGAACCTGAAGGGTCCGGTTCAAACCTTCAGAACCACAGACCGGTCCTGGATCTCGACTGAAGGCGAGACGTCAGAACTTGGAGCTAAAGTTCGTTTAAAAAAAAAAGTTTTATTTTCATTAAAGTCTGAGCCGGGACATCTGGAAGTTCCACCGCCTCCGAGAATAAACTGAACTTTTAATATTTTACAACTTTAATCAAACGTTTGATCTTATGTTAAAGATGGAACCCAAACAAACCTGCAGAGGTCCAGACCGGTACAGAGTCTGGTCCAGACTCTGGTCCAGACTCTGGACTTCCTTCATTCTGTGAACGTTTATGATGCGTTCACTGTCGTCCATTTTCCTTCCATATATTTTTCAGCTCAGTTCTCGTCTCACAGTTTTCAACAAATCATGAATCAAAACGTTCGGCTCTTTCAGATCAATCCTGCTGTCACTTTTGGTTTTGGTGCAACTTTAGCTGTTTGAAATATTTAGCCTTTTCTGCCATTTTTCTCTCATAGAAACTGAACTGAGCTCATTTTAATCCTTCAGCTCTTTAGCTCTGTTTACAACCTTTTACTGCTTCTTTCACATTCTGTTCTGCTTCAGCTTCTTTCAGCTTCCTGCTGCTAATTTAAACTTGTTTTCAGCTACTTTCAGCTGTTTTGTGCTTCTTTCAGATTCTTTCTTCCAACTACAACATTTTTGTGCTTCTTCTAACTTCTTTCTGCTCCTTTCAGATTATTTCTGCTTGTTTCAGTTATTTCAGCTAATATTCGGCTGTTTTATGCTTTTTTTTTTAGCTCTTTCAGTTAATTCCACTTTTTTTTTAGCTAATTTCAGCTCCTTCCACTTCCTTCTGGTAGTTTAAGCTTCTTTCTGCCTTTTCAGTCTTTTTTTTAGCTGATTTCCTAATTGCTGTGCTCATTTCTGCTGATTTAAACCGAATTCAGTAAATATGTGTTCTTTCTGCTTTCTTCTGCTGATTGAGGCTTGTCCTTCCATTTCAGCTAACTTCAGCTGTTTTTAGCTAACTTCAGCTGTTTTTAGCTAACTTCAGCTGTTTTTCTGCAATAAGCGTTCACGCTGCATTTTCACAGGAAGTGCAGTTTCTCTAGTTTTGACTCATTTCCTGTCGATCTTATAAAAGACATCAAATTAATTCTTTATTTATTGTCGCTGCTCTGAATGAACGTATTTTTATCAAATGAGAGAAAAAGTTTTGGTCTCGGTCTGAAGCTAAAACGCTGCTTCAACAAACAAACAAACAAACAAACAAACAAACAAACAAACTTTTGTTTGTTTGTTTGTTTGTTTGTTTGTTAAATCCTCATTTTATAATTTATTGTCACGTCAACGATCAAACAGAATCCACGATGTGATGAAGAACAGTTTGAACAGAACCTGAACAGAACACGTCTGAACGGGTCGACGTTTACATGAAGTCTGACCAGAACCTCACAGGTTCTGATGGGGGGGGGGGGGTGTCCACGAGGAGCTCACCTGAGGGCCGGACCAGAAACTGCATCGTCTCGCTCCGAGTCTCCAGCCAGGACCGACAGACTGAGGAGGAGGAGCAGGAAGAAGAACAGGAGGAGCAGGAGGAGGAGCAGGAGGAGCAGGAGGACAAGGAGCAGGAGGAGCAGGAGGACAAGGAGCAGGAGGAGAAGGAGGACAAGAAGCAGGAGGATGAGGAGCAGGAGGACAAGGAGCAGGAGGAGGAGGAGCAGGAGGACAAGAAGCAGGAGGACAAGGAGCAGGAGGAGGAGAAGGAGGAGGAGGAACAGGAGGAGGAGGAGCAGGAGGAGCAGGAGGAGGAGGAACAGGAGGACAAGGAGCAGGAGGATGAGGAGCAGGAGGATGAGGAGCAGGAGGACAAGGAGGATGAGGAGGACAAGGAGCAGGAGGATGAGGAGCAGGAAGATGAGGAAACAGAGGCAGTGAGGACAAACTCGGTCCAAACTCGTGCACAGTCGTGCTACAACATGCAGACTGCTCACAGGTCCGATCCAGAACCGTTCTCTTCATGCAGAACTTTCATGCAGCCGACCGTGAAGCGTGACCCGACCCGGTTCTGGACGACCCTGAAGGGGCCAGCCCCTGAACGCATCGCACAGACGATGAGCACAGCTTCAACTGGGACCAGAGTCTCTGGTGGACCTCCGTGTTTGGAGACACGTCCCCTGGCTCTGGTGGTTCTGGTGAAAATAGAACCGAACCGTTTGGACTCAGCGGCCATTGTTCCACCTGGAGGACAAAGAGAAGCTGGAGGCACGGCGGCGGCAGCAGCATGCAGTGGGACGGTCCACGTCACGAGGACATCTGAAGACAGGAAGTTAACGCTCGGACACAAACAGGTCTTCAAATGGACACTGTCCCTCAGTGTCCAGAGTGCTGTGAGAAGGAAACCCAGAACCTCTGACCCGGGTCAGACGGATCAAAGACGACACCGTCTGGGAACCTCTCACTGTAAACCCTGCACCGTCGTGTGGCGCCGTCTTCAGCGTGGTCTGGTTCTGACTGGACCGACGAGCTAAAGACTCGTACCGGACCGACGAGCTAAAGACTCGTACCGGACCGACGAGCTAAAGACTCGTACCGGACCGACGAGCTAAAGACTCGTCGTCTTCAAACAGCTCAAAACGCACGGAGACAAATCAGAAGCAGCCCCACAAGATCCAGCTTTACACACGTGCACGTTTCAACATGCACAAGGAGTATGTTCAAATACACGTGCACAAATCACCTGCTGTGGTCGGACCAACTTGCCTGTGAACGTGACTATTAAGGTTCGCTAATGCAACGCTGCGTTCAAGGCCGGTGAGAAGCTGGGACGTCAGAGCGTCGTGTCCGCAGCTCATAATCCAGAGATTAAAACTCGTTACTGGATTAAAAAGGTTTGTTTTTTGTACCGTACGGTTAAAATAATGTAAAATAAGGAGGCTGGATAAATCTACCAGAACCAGAAAAACAGATTTTCCCACAAGAAGAAGAATTTGTCCATTTCTGCTCTGGTTCAGTCGTCTCGTCCAAAACGTAACTTTTGAAAACGGTTCCGAGTCCGTGGGACGAGTTTTACAACGATTTGATCTCCGTACGAAGGTTTCTGAAGAGCTCCTCCCACAGGGAGCAGGTTCTGGACTCGTGCACAGAACCTGCCTTCAGGTGCACCCCGAAGGACTCGGACCGGTCCCGGTCCTGATGAACCGGGACTCGGATCTGTCCGAGCCTCTCAGCCAATCAGAGACGAGACGCCCGGCTCGTCTGATTGGACGGAGCATGCGGACTCACTCGCTGAGACTCCTGCCTCGTCTGATCGGTCCAGACGGACGGTCCTCCCTCTGAGGGACAGCGCTGCAAGGTCAAAGGACAAAGAAAGGACACGGACATGAGACCAGGGGGACAGTATGGAGACACTCCGGGGACAGTGAAAGACAAAGTGTGAGGACGGCGAGGAAAACTAAACCCAATTCTTCTCAAATGATCAGAAACTGTTCCTGTCCGGACCGACCCGATGACGGGACTTTTATTTTGACGGCGGTTTCCTGTGATACTCACTGCTGCTGTCCTTCTGTCCTCTCTGAGGACGCCTCGTCTCCGACCAGAGGGCTTCGACTTCAGAGGCAGCAGAGACAGGAGAGACACAGGTTCAGGCCCGCTGCTGGTTCTGGACCAGTTCTGGACCGGTTCTGGTCGGTCCATGAAACGGGAACAGCGATGTTCAACGGGAACTTTCTGCGTTTTGGTTTCAGGAAGTTTGAAATAAATTAAGAAAATAAAACAGAACGTTTTATTAAAATTTAAAATTATATTTGGAAATTTTTATTTATTTTTATTTTTTTCACCTTTTGAAATAATTTTATTTTTTAATTTATTGTTAATTTTAGCACTTTTTTTCTTTTGGAGACGTTTAATTATTTTTTGTTTCTTATTTGTAAAGTTTTGCACATTTTATTTTTTATCAATTAAAAATAATATTTATTTATTTTAACAATAATCGTATTTTATTTATTTATAATTTGATATTTTCTCTTTGAACATCTAAATAAATTTGTTTTGTGTGGAAACTTATTTTAACTGTTTTATAAACATTTTTTCTACTTTATTTTCCGTCATTATTTTATTTTATTAACAATAAAAAGTGAATTTATCGCTAATAAAATAAAATCTAATCATTTTTATAAAACTTTAAATTTATTTTCTTCAGATTTAGATTCTGATGCAGAAAATTAAAATCTTGAGTTTCATCCCGGACAGCACGGGTTCCTGCAGCGGGTCCAGAACCTTCTGTTCAGAACCTCAGACCTGGACCGGGTCCTGTTCAGAACCTCAGACCTGGACCAGGTCCTGTTCAGAACCTCAGATCTGGACATCTGGACCGGGTCCTGTTCAGAACCTCAGATCTGGACTGGGTCCTGTTCAGAACCTCAGACCTGGACCAGGTCCGGTGACCTTCTAAGGTCCAGGAACATCAGCTCTGAGCCTCGCGGTCGCTCACCAGCCGTACGTCTTCTGGGGTTTGGGCAGCGGGTCGTCGAAGAACGAGTCTCCTTCATCCTGGTCTCCCTGCTCCTCCTCCTCCTCCTCCTCCTCCTTCCTCACCCCTGCAGAGGAGGAGGTTTGCTGCTGAAGGTCTCCTTCCCCCGGAGAGGACGAACGCTCCGGGTCCTGAGGAGAACCACAGTTCAGGTGAGACAAACGGATTCAGGTGGTCCTGAAGCTGATGAAGAGCTGATGAAGAGGAGAAGCAGCCGAAGCTTTTTATAATTTGCTGAACTGTAAAACTTTCAGCTGTGAACATGAGCTGAAAGCTGCTGTGGAACCAACCGGGTCACGTGTTTGAAACAAATCTGGGCTTTTTGTTTTTCACATCGTTCCAATTAGCTTCGACTCATTTGACCCTTCAGAGCCACCGTAGATCAAAGATTAGGAGCTAAAAGCTGAACCTGTTTGTTCCACAGCTGAAGTCATTCTGAGACGGACCGGACGGGTTCTGACTGAACGACACAGACTGGACTCATGCAGGAGGAAAGGTTCTGTGCTCTAAAAACGACAAACGAGGCGACGGCGAACGCGTCTGACGGACAGATCAACTCCGGTGCTTTTATTGTGACAGGAAGTGTCTGGGTCTGCTGCTCGTCTCGTTACCTTGACGACCGTCTGGCTCCTCTGGACTCTGTACCTGGGGATCTGTGCACAACACGAAGAGCAGCCGTCAGAGCCACGAACCGGACCTCCATCAGAAACACGCAGGAGGTTCTGCTCTCATGCATGAAAAGTTAACAGGAGCATCAACTACGGGTTTGTTTTCAGTTTTTACACAATCTCTTTATTTTGAAATATTTTCAGTTTCGGTGTTTCCAGTTCTGCATTTCAAGCTGCAACACATTCCAGAAGGAACTGGGTTAGGGACAGGAAGTACCTGGTTTCCCCACAGCTCCAACTAATCCTGGAGTACCTCAAAGTGGTGTACTTGGACCACTCCTCTTTCTTATTTCATGCTTTATTTTGGTTAAACCATCTCCTACCACGGTGCCAAACTTTGACTGTATGCTGATGATACTCTGATCTTTGTCCGAATCGGTTCAGCCCAGCCCCCCACCACCCCCTCTGTCCCTGATCCCCCAGGAGCAGGAAACCAAAGCCTGGAACTGAGCTTTGGGTTGTTGCTCCTAAAACTCTGCTCAGAAACGTTGGAGGTCTCTTTCTGGATACAGATGGGTTCTCTAGCTGCCATCCTCTGGGGTTCGCAACCTGGATCAGGGTTCTGTGATGGACTGGACTTGAATCACCACCAGAACCCTCTCAGGTGACATCTAATGCTCTGATGAGACAAAAATAAACTCCAAGAACACGGTATCCAGTGTTTGGCACGGTGGTGGTTGTATCATGTTCTGGGGCTGGCTGCTCAAAAAAGACAAGTCCAAAAGCCCGGTTCTGATGGCAGCATTAATGCAGAAAAGTCCAGAAGATTTTACAGAAACATCTGCTGCCTTCAAGGACCACACCATTTTATGGGACATTTCAGCACTTTTCACCAAGACAAAAAGTGTCCCCAATGGAGGACGAGGACAACGTGTCCTGCTGGACAGAGTAACACCTGAACGTCTTCATCACCTGGTTTCCTCTTGGTCAGAACCTCGTTAGGTGTTGGGGGAGAAGCAGAAACTGTCCCTGGAGTTTAAATCTCCGTCGTGTCTGAAACCTTCGTGTGTTTTTAGGATTGAACAGAAGAATTCCTTCATCCTGCAGCGCCGCCGTTCCAGCACGGACAACGAGTTTCAGCTGTTTTATAAAATGAAAAGTCTCGAAGGAAGAACCGGTTGAAAGCAGAACGGACCTTACTGACCGGAGGAGAGGCGGCTCGATCCTCAGCCCGGCTCTGAGGTCGACTCGTGTTCGAGTCCGGAACGACCTGAAAGCAGGATCAGAAACTTTAAAACTTTAAAACTTTAAAACATTAAAACGTTTGAACAAACACATCGATCGCTCCGGGAGCTGAACGGGATTAAATAATTTGATCTAATCTGAGCGTCAGAACAAACGTTTTAAAACGCCACCGGCTCAAATTAAAGATATTTATCGTTATTAAAGAAGTTCGTGTTTTTATTTTGCTCCCAAATTATTTAAAAGTGAAACATTAAAAGATTTTCTGGTTTTTGTGACTTTGTTCAAATTATGTGGGAATAAATGACACAACTTTTATTTTGTTAATCTGAGCAGGATTTGTTTGACACGGCGGACATGAAGCTAAATTTAAATGATTATTAAAACGTGAATTATAATTAAATGATTAATTATTAAAGTGGAGAACATGGAGCTCATCAGAACGTTTGAAACCCGGGTCAGGACCCGAGACTCACCACGCTCCTGCACTGACAGAACAGACGTCTGTACGAGTCCAGGAAGAACTGGAAGTCGATCCCTGCAAACAATCAGAACCAAGAGTCCGGTCAGTCCCGGGTCAGAACTCCTTGGATCAGACTGCAGGTTCTAAGAAGAATGAACCGGGCTCACTGTCGGAGGAGGTTCTGTCTGCAGCTCGGAGCTCATCGCACGTGAATCTCTCCAACATGTTCCTGTGAAAACCCAAACAGCAGAAAAACCTGCGGTCGGTTCTGGTTCTGGGACGACTGGACGAACCCAGATCCAGACTTCCTGTTCATGATTAAAACTCTTATTTGTTAAAAAAGTTCTGGACTCGTTAACATGACGGACCAAAACAAGCTTCAAAACTTTAAAACGGACCGGACCTTTGGATCCTTCAGAACCACGAAACATTTTCAGAACTGAACGTTTTGAACAAGAACAACAAACTCAGTGCAGCTGAAGGAGAAACGGGTCGGACCTGTTCAGACCCGGCAGCAGGTCCGAGAACACAGACTTCAGATCTTCTCCACGGACCGAGCCGCTCCCATCCTGCAGACCCAACAGAACCAGCCGTAAGAAGGTCACCTGTGATTGGCTGCAGAGCGATGACATCACAGCCCTGGACTCACCTGGTCGTAAAGATCAAAGGTCCTGCGGGCGAGAGCGACGTCTGGAGTCTGGAGGAGCTCCTGAGACAGAAGAAGAAGACGATGAAGCACGATCTGAGAAGAACAGCTGAAGGCTGAGAAGAACAGCTAAAGTCTGAAGGAGAAGAACAGCTAAAGTCTGAAGGAGAAGAACAGCTAATGATGAAAATAAGACGAGTTTCTTCAAACGACGACTGAAACGAATCCTGTTGGACAGAAACAGAAAACTGAGTCCCTTCAGGACCAGGAAACCCCTCAGGACCAGGTTACTCATCATGATTAGGACCAAAAGATTAATCAGGAACTGCACGAGGAACTCAAGGATCCAGGGACTTCATCAACAGAACCTGGGACACAGACGTCAGCAGGACACCCTAAGCCCCGCCCCCTTTATCTGTCAACACCCAGTGACCCAAATCCTAAGAACTAGGTCGACCTGGATCAGTCCAAACACACAACTTGAGGAACTCCTGCAGACCGATCCGAGCTCAGATCTGACCCGTCGGGTCTGAAATTATTTGGGGGTCCAGAGGGAACCTTTAAACATCTGAAACCACGAAGAACTGCTGATCTGGATCCCTTTAAGAGACTCCAACCAGAACCTAAATAACCAGCTGGACAGGGCGTTTGTGTTTACATGCTAGAACCGGTCCTTCTCTCACCGTCCGGTCGTTTCCAGCTCCGCCTCCAGCTCCGCCTCCCTGCCGACACACAGAACACAAACCATCAGCCTCGGTCGGACCGGCTGCAGAACTGAGCGGGACCGTCTCACCTCGGTGGGGACATCCGGTTTGTCTCCGCGCCGTCCTCTCCGGACCAGCTCCAGCAGCAGCGGGGACGTTTTATTCAGATCCGAGTCAGACAGACCCAGGTCCCTGCAGACCAGGTCCCGGCTGTCCAGACCGTTCAGCTGCTCACAGAAAACACATCGGCTGATTTAAAAACTCATTTTATCTTTTTTGTTTGTTCCTGAGCTTCAGAGCTCGAGTCAAACACAAGTTTATAAACAGGAAGTGGCAGAAATCAGACAGGAAGTACAAACTGACGCAAAGATTCACTCAGTTTTACTCAGAATCAACAATTTAAAAAGTCTAAACAGATCTACAGATAAAATATTCTATCATCTTTAACAAATATTAAAAGTAGAGCCCCACTGATATGTCGGCCGGGCTGGTATATCTGGGGGGGGGGGGGCAATATTTCAGGTTGATGTGTGTTTGGGGACGTATCGGTGATAATTGTCCCATTATCAGCCGATATGATGGTCGCTCTAATTTTTACATCACTTTTATAACAAAAATCATCCCAAAACCTAATAAGTCACTTCACTTTGATAAAAAGGTGACTACAGGAACATGAACTAAGAAAACAGAAACGTCTGTTTACCTTTGAAACTTCAACAAACATGTAAACAACAACAACCTGATAAACTGGTTTGATGTCACCAGTTTCATCTTAATCACAGATTTTATCCAAACAACAGTTTCTGTTAACAACGAGCTCTTTAACGGGCCTGCAGGTCAGAAACACCATGTTCACAAACAGCCGGCTCTTCAAAAGGAACAGATTCAAAAGACCCGGCTCTCTTCAACGAGACGTAAATCTCAGGGTTACTGAAGAGGAGCTGGGTTAAAAACTACCAGACGAACAAAAATCAGCTGCTTTCTGTGCGTGATGTCACTTGACGGCTTCAGATTCTGAGCGTTTCTGTTCATCTGAAGCTCCGAGGAGAAACTTTCCACCACACGAGTTACGTCAGCGTGAGGTTTAAGGAGCTCAGAGCCGTCAAGTCCGTTTGTTGTTGTCGGGACGTTTTAAAGTCTTTGTCAAACAGAACCGGAGCGCGGACCCGTTCGGGTCGGGTTTTTTCTGTGCTGCTCACCAGGTTGATCTCGGGTTGGAACACGGCGAGGCTGAAGTCCAGGTTGAAGACCTGCAGGAAGTCTACGATCAGGCTGGCCACCAGGCGACCTGCGGGGATAAAACACGGATCAGAACCAGACAGAGACGGCTCCAACACTTCGGTTTAATGACGGATTCGGTCCAAATGCAGACAAGTTGCAGCAACACTCCTGCAGCTCTTCTCCTCACAGCAGCTACTTTTAAACTTTTCTCTTTGTAGCTGTTTGGGTCTGGAGCAGCTCCCAAAACACTGAGCAGAACAGGATTTAAAGAAGACCCTGAACCCAGAACCAGAGGTCTGATGGTGCGGCAGCACCACCCTGTGGTCACAACCACAAACTACAACAACAAACTCCAGAGAAACACAGACAGAAGATGAGCAGACACATAAAGCTGATGTTCAGAGGAGGAAAACACCAGGAGATGAAACTCGTTTGGATCCAAGAAAAACTGACCGTCTTGAGTGTTCAGGCATTTCTTCAGGTTTTCGTTGACGAGTGGAGTTTTGTTCTGGGGACAGAAAAGACAAACGTTGATGACGAATCAAACTGTGAAGAAAAGTCAGGATGAAGCTTCACCTCCAGCCTGTCCTGGTCCTCCATGGCCAGGAACACGGCTGCCCTCATCTCTGCCTGCACGAAAAACATTTACACACAAATTATAAATGTGATCATTCACACAGAGATGTTAGTTCTAATCTAAAGTTGCAAAAAGCCTCAGCTGATCTACAGCAAACATGTTTCAAGCAAATGTTCAAAGTGTTTCTGCTTCAAAACAAGATTTTTGTCTGAGAGAAATTAAACATTTTCAGTTATTTTTACTTGATATGAAACAAACAAACAAAAAAAGCTGAAACGCTAAATCAGCTTTAAGCTTTTACTGCTGCACAAACAGAGCTGGACACCGAAGGTGACTCAGCACTCGGTCACTAACCAGCCAGCAACAACCAGGAGCTAACTAACTAGTTCAGAGTTCAGCCACTGCACGTCACAGACAGATTAGCATTAGCCGTTAGCATCGTGACGCTAACGGTCCTCGGACCTTCAGCTTGTTCAGGACTCCGCTGGTCTCCAGGTTCTGGATCAGCAGGTCCCTCAGCTCCGTGTCGTCCTCAGCAGCCGACATGATCACCCGCTGTCCAGCACAACTGTGGCACAAGAACTGAGAAGAACCACAACAAACGGACCGGAAACAACCCGGAAGTGACGTCAGCAGCTGCTGCCGGGCTGGGGCGACACCGCCACCTAGTGGTAGCCACCAGTTCAGATTTACAGCTTTTAACAAGTTTTAACTTTGTTTCATTTTTACGTTAAAACCTTGAAAAATGCAAAGTATGAGAGCTTTTTAAAAACAAAAAATATGAAAACTGTGTTTGTGTCAGCTGACAGATTTACTGTTTAACAATAAAAACAAGTCAGACCTGTTCCTGTGTTTCAGACTGAATGTGCAGTTTCACAGGTTTCATTCATTAATGAACGTTTTTATGTTTATTTACACGCTTGGCCAAAAATCTAAAAGTATAAAAAAGAAAAAAGTACAAACTACTGAGAGATTAGACATAAAATTTATTATTTAGCTCATAAACTCTTTAACATCCACAGTTTGACAAGCTGACCAAGAACATGAACTCCAAAAATAACATTTACACGCATAAAACCCACATCTGGAGGTTTCTCATGGTCCACATCTGGCCCTGAGTCAGGGGAGGGGGTGCAGTTGAACAGAGTTTACACAGAACTGGGCCCATGGTGACCCGGGTTCTGATGAACCTCGTCTGGTCCAACTCCTGTCGCTGTAAAGAAACTAAAGAGGAGCTAAAACTGATTCTTCTTATTCTGAATCAAACGCTTGTTTTGTACCTAAACTCTTCTCCAGGGGTGTCACCAGGAGAGGGCTCAGGGGGGCAGTGCCCCCCCCCCCCCCCCAATGTCCCTCTTTAGTTTGTTTCTTCATCACGTTGTTCAATCATCATTTTTATCCATCAAACGATCAATAGATTTAACAAAGATACAACAGGTTTTGTGTTTCTGTTCCCCCAAAAACTAAATACATTATTTTTATTTATGTCATCACACACACACACACACACACTTCTGTGTGTGTGTTCAATAAAAATAAACACAAATGCTTTCAACATCATCCAATCAGACTTGCTCCGTCTCAAACTTGTCCTAACGCAGATAAAACCAAAGGGATGCTTTGTTCAAACAGGAAGTTGGTCCCAGCAGTTCTTCCTCTGATTTTATCCTCAAATGGTGTCCCCATTGAGTTTGTTGATTCCTATAAATATTTGTGTATCTTGGTCGACTCACATCTCTCTTTTAAGCTCCATGTGTTAAACCTAGTAAAGAAACTGAAAGTTAAACTGGGTTTCTTTTTCAGAAACAGATCCTGTCTAACTCTGAACCCTGAGGAACGCCTTGTATCTGTGACTTTCCTTCCCTCCATTGATTACGGTGACATTATTTACATGAACGCTCCTACAAGAACCTGCAGATGTTGGATGCTGCAGATGTTGGATGCTGCAGATGTTGGATGCTGTCTATCATGGTGCACTAAGATTCATAACTGGCTGTAACTACCGTACCCACCACTGCACCCAGTATTCACTGGTTAACTGGTCACCATTAACTTCACACAGACTCTCCCACTGGTACATTTTCATCTTTAAATCACTTCTTGGTCTGCTGCCTTCATACATCTCCTCCTACATGTCTCTGTGTGAGTGCAGCTACAGCGTGCGCTCTCAGGACATCATTACCTGCAGTGTTCCCTCAGTGAGGACTGAACTAGACAAAAGGACCTTCTCCTACTCCGCTCCTGTTTCCTGGAATATCTTGTAAAAAGATCTGAAGCTCTCGACCTTTGACCTCTCTAAGTGGCTTCAAACATCTGTTCAGTTCCTGGAAGAACCAACGCAGACGTGTTCCTGTTTGTAGTTTTCGACACCACCTTGCAATGTAGCGGTTATTGCTTCATTTCTTAAATATAATTTTCTTCATGTTTTCCAGTTTGTATGTTTCTTGTATGATCGTCCACTGTCGTCGTCGCTCGTTGTTAGATCAGGTCTCTCTTGTGAGGCTCAGTGAGACCAGCCCGTAGAAATAAAGGTTGAATGAAACAACACTTTTGGTTCTGGTGCCACCCCAGGACGCTCTGTGGCCCCCACATGCCCCCCACATTAAAGCATCTCTGGTGGGGGCCCCTGGTACAGCTGCTTCTTACATGACTGTATTTTGTTGGCCATAAATAAATAAACAAATAAGTAAACAAACAAATAAATAAATAAATAAATAAATAAATAAATAAACAAATAAACAAGGCGGCTGGATGTTTATTATGGGATCATCTAAGGAGGAGAGGAGCAGCAGATGGAGGAGAGAGTGAAAAAGGAGAGAGGAGGGGGGGCAGACTGAGGAGGAGGAGCAGGAAGGACTGGGCAGACTCCAGCAGACCCCCTCCCGGTGGATCCGGATCCTCAGCCGCTCCGTCCGGAGGCGCCATGGCCGACGATCGCGCTCCGTCCACGGCCTGCACCGGCTCCAGCCTCCTGCAGCCGGTCAGCGACCTCACCAAGCTGCCGCTGGACCAGGTACGACCAGGACCCGGACCAGGCCGGGCCCGAGCCGCGGAGCCCCGCATCGGGTCCGTCCGGGTCTCTGAGGCGCGTTTTGCAACAAAAGATGCAGAAGGAGGGCGGGGTGGGGGGGCAGGCTGTCCTGCAGGACCTGGGCCTCGGATCCGGTCCAGCTGCGGGACGCGTTGTCTGTAAACACGATCCGTGCGGGACAGACAGCCGGAACCGAGGCAGGGTTCTGGACCAGAACCGAGACCCAAACATCCCGTGGTCAGGATGAGGAGGAGGATGAAGAGGAGTCTGATCATCATTATTATATTATCAATAATCATTAATAATCATTCCATCATAAACCATCACAAATCATCAATAATTATTATAAATCACATCAGAATCCACAAACATCCTGTTTACTAAACCTGAGAAACAGATTTATATATTTATACACACAGTACACATATTTATACACACAGTACACATACACAGAATATAAATACTGGTTTTAGCTTGTGCTTTAGCTGATTTTAGCTTGTGTCCTGCTGGTTTTAGCTTGTGCTTTAGCTGATTTTAGCTTGTGTCCTGCTGGTTTTAGCTTGTGTTTAGCTGATTTTAGCTTGTGTCCTGCTGGTTTTAGCTTGTGTTTAGCTGATTTTAGATTGTGTCCTGCTGGTTTTAGCTTGTGCTTTAGCTGATTTTAGCCTTACTCTGTTGATTTTAGCTTTGCTAATTTTAGCTCACATTCTGTGTTCAGCTGATTTTAGCTTGTGTTTTAGCTGATTTTAGCTTGTGTTTAGCTGATTTTAGCCTAACGCTGTTGATTTTAGCTTTGCTAATTTTATCTCACGTTCTGCTAGTTATAGCTTGTGTTCAGCTGATTTTAGCTTGTGTTTTAGCTGATTTTAGCTTGTGTTTAGCTGGTTTTATCTTGTGTCCTGCTGTTTTAGCTTGTGTCCTGCTGTTTTAGCTTGTGTTTAGCTGGTTTTAGCTTGTGTTTAGCTGATTTTAGCCTAACTCTGTTGATTTTAGCTTAGCTAATTTTAGCTCATGTTCTGCTGGTTATAGCTTGTGTTCAGCTGATTTTAGCTTGTGTTTTAGTTGATTTTAGCTTGTGTCCTGCTGGTTTTAGCTTGTGTTTAGCTGATTTTAGCTTGTGTTTTAGTTGATTTTAGCTTGTGTCCTGCTGGTTTTAGCTCACGTTCAGCTTGTTTTAGCTTCATATTCACAGTGTGAAGTTTCTACAAAGGAAGTTTCTGTGATAAAATTTCTTCTTGAAAAAAGAAACAAAAGCTCAAATCATTTATTTCTTTAGCTGATTTTTACGAGCTGAAACCCAACTGTAACTAAGCAGAAACGTTTCGGCCACATCTCCAGTCCGACTCGGTGCAGCCGACAGAAAGAGTCCCAGCAGCTGAGAAAACCTCGTGGTCTCAGACCTGTTCCGGTCTCAGTCCAGCTGTGTTCGGACCAGAAGGTCCAGATTGTTGCTCAGCGTGGACCCTCAGCAGGACCCGATCCAGCTCCGTCAGAACTGAACCGGTTTTGGTTCTGAACCCAGTCAGACCCTGCTGGTCCTGCCTGGTGGATCTGAACCCAACAGAACGTTTATTAATTCCACACGTAGAACCAACAAATCATTGCAGAACTCCGATTTATTTATATTTGTTCTGTTTCCCTTTTGTTGGTTTTTCAGGGAACCTTTAGTGAACTTTTAGGAATGTTCCCTAAACATTCACGATGTGTTCTTCAGGGAGAGTTCTCTAAAGGTTAAAGGATCTGGAACATTCAGAGAAGGTTGTAGAAATGTACAACATTCAGAGGAACTTTGGAGAACATTCCCAGAAGATTTTTAGAGAACGTTCCCTGAATGTTCTTTAAAGGTTACAAGACCTGAAACCGTTAGAACAGTTCTACAGAAAAACAACAAAGTCCATGCTCAATAATCCAGGTATACAATCCATCATTTTTCAGTCAGGTCATCTGGACAATTTCTTTTTTTTTTGTTGTGCTGAAACGTTTCGTCTTCCATCCAGAAGGCTTCATCAGTCAAGGAAACACACAACAGAACTGAATCTTCTCCCAACATCTTACTACAAACTGGAACAAACCAGTTCTGCTTGTGATAAGATGGTCTCTTTGGTACGCCCCCTCCTCCATTGCCTTAGTTCTACAGACTGTTGTGCAGTGTGACCTTCAAAGAACATGTAGGGAACGTTCCCCGAAAGTTCCCTCAAAGTGTATCTCAACTTTCACATTGTGATCATCAAGGAGCCTTTAGGGAACAAATCCCAAAGGTTCTCTGAAAGTTGTTACAAACTTCGTAACCTTTAGGGAACGTTTGGTACACATTTCTTTAAAGTTCTCTTGTATATCTGTCAGAACACAATTATGGAACGTTCCCTTCCATTAATTCCAGCATTCATGTTGTGACCTTCAGGGAACATTCACGGAATGCTTGTGGATTGTTCTCCAAGGGTTAAAGGATTCAGGACCTTTAGGGCAACGTTGTAATTGTTCATTTGAGTAACCTTCAGAGGAAACCGTTCCCAAAAAGTTCTCTAAAGTTTAGTTGTCACTGTCCAAACGTGACCAGGGCAACTTTTTGGGAACATTCTCTAAATGTCA